ATTAAAGATTTTTAGCATTAAATGAAAAATATAAATCTATTTAATAAATAATAGGGATAAAATAGAGATAAGTTATCACTACAAATAATGACAAATTAATTTTTTTTTTGTAAAAAATGCACAAGAATTAAAAATTGTATATAATTCCTTTTTTTATATGATGAAATATGCCATATTTATTTTGAAATGGTTCGAACTATATTTGCAACGTTAGATTTAGATGGAGTACAATGAATGCTTGCCGGAAATGTAATATTATTAGGATCAATGATAATAGTTCGTTCTAAATATCCATAATGTTGATTGCAAAATGCGTATGATCGATTTTAAGAATGCTCTGAAAATCCCGTCAAACTTTAAATGACCCGTTCTTTAAGTTTTGGAAGAATCATCGAATAAACAAATAAGTGTTTGTTGCATGATATTTCCTAATTAATAAAATACATTACAAAGAACTATAAATTATTAATATAATGAGAAATAAGTTAAAAAACCTTTGATAGCTTCTTTTAATTCTCTTCCAAATTTAGTGATTAAGTTTTCAATAAAGTTTTAGAAATTACATCCGTTTTCCAATTTTTAAACAAACGTAGTATGAAGTTGTTAAATTAAATTATCTATGCCAAATAATAATTTTGCGAGTAAAATTGCTATATCATGCCATGATGAAATTTTCGTGTTATTTGATAAGAAGGATTTATAATCTTTGGTAATAAATTCAAAAGCTTTTTTTTTTTATTAGATTTCATTAAATTATCAAGGCAAAACAAAATGAAAGAAAGCTGATAAATAAATAATTAAATGCTTACCTATTTGAAGGTCTGTCATTTTCTTTCCTTTTTTTTCTTAGGAGCAGAATCTCGATTAATCATTACACATAAATGAATCAACTGCCCTGGAAACAATACAATGATAAGAAAAGCTTCAAAACGCGTAATAAGTATATTAAGTGTTTTATGACAAGAAAAAAGAAAATAAATTATCATATCAAATAAAAATGTAAAAAATAATAAATAATTACAAAAAGTCAAAGTATGATATATATTCATGATTGTTATCCTTGTTATTAGATAGTTCAACCTAATAATTTAAATATGTATTATTTATTATAAAATAATAAACATATTAAATAGTTGCCAAATTATAATATAATTCATGTATTTATTGTAAAAATTTGATTTTGACAAATGTTAAAACTGTGGAAAAACATCAATTTTAATATGCTCTTTCATTAGATTTAATTTGAAAACCCAAAAGTACAATTATTTAAAATAATATTGTATTTTTTTAAGTCAAATTTATATTAAAATTTATTGCATAATAAAAAAAACAATCAATAAATTAAAATTTAACAATTATGATACAAAAAGAATACTAATATGAAATGTACTATGCCTCAATGAACATATTAACCAATTTCTATCATTAAAAATTTTGTATTATATATACATATGTAAGTGTGTATAACTTTACAACCTTAGTTTAATAAATAAACAATGAGAAGCAACTACTTAACCTCCATAAAAAAATTCAGTTACATAATTTTATAAAAAAGAATTTTCAAATATAATATGATGCAATTCATTAATTAATCCTAAATTGATCTTACCTTTATAATTATTTATATCATATTTTGAAAAAGATTCATGAATTGCTAAACTTTGTTGCATTAAAGGTTGGTTATAAGATGTGTTTCAGAACAAGTAGTTTCGTTTTGTAATAATTCAGAATCTATATTTTGCATTTCTTGATCTTCCTTTAAAAACACAAGTGCATTTTCTGTTTTTCTAATATAAATTAAATCTACAACCACCTCTGATATAGTAAAAACAGTTTCAGCACTTGGACGTTTAGATGGATTGTTGTGCCAACATTTTTCCATCAATTCAATATAACATTGAGGTGTTCCTATATGAATTTTGGACGATATCCATTGAAAATAGATATTGCTAGTTCTGGATCATATAATTATCCTTCAAATGGTTTTTTTCTTGTTGATATTACCCACATAATAATTCCAACACTATAAAGATTTGATGCTTGTGTATATTGATTTTTATTCATGACCTCTGGTGCAATATAGGGTAATACACCATATGTTCCAAATGATAAAATTTCATTTACTGGTTTACATAATCCAAAATCTCCCAATCTTATAAAATTTGAATTATCATGTGTTTAAGTAATCATAAGATTACCAGGATGAAGATCACGATGAATAAATCCTTTACTGTGAATATTTTTAATCCTCTAATAAAAGAGTTCAATAACCATTACCGTTCTTTCCAAGGAAATGTCTTATTTTGTTGAAATTTCCATCTTTCATATATCGAAAACTAATGCATACCCTTTTGACTTTGGATCCTTTGTTATATCCATAATCATAATCTTTTGACTTTGGATCTTTTGTTATATCCATAATTGGTAAAATATATTATCTCGACAATAGAAATTTACTATTAACTATATTATAAAGTCATAAAGAAACAAATATATTCAGTATATTTATCTCATTTAAAAATTCAGAAATGATTGTTGTGAATTCTTAATTTTTTTCAAAGCAACTTGATTTGAATTATAGAATCCAAATAATTCTTCAGGTATATCTGTCCATTCTGTTTCCCAAACACTACCAAAACCTCCTTTAGCTAAATAATCTATCTTTTTAAATTTACTATAATCTATCCATCTTCAAATTTCCCATTCCTTTGCATTTTCATCCAACTGAGACATATAAATAATCTTGTCAACATCATAATTACCACTGGTCCATTTTGACAAATAGCTTACTCCAACAAGTTTACAATTTGAACATATATTATCTTGAATATTTAAGTTTCCACAATTATGACATCTACTAAAATTTTGATAATACTTAATACAGATTTCACTGCAACCATTTTCCTTCCAAAGATGCAGCAAATGTTATCATTTTTATTGGTGTCTTGCATAAGTTTATTTCCATTTTTCTTAATTTTTGAGAATCCAATTTCATTTCGATGCAAATATTCAACAGAGCCCTGATTAAATTTATCACCCATTTCAGCTGATTTCAAGTACCACTAAAATGCTTTCTCTTCATCTTTTGTTGTTCTAATCCCATTTCTATAACAATAACCAAGATTATTCTGTCCATAACTACCTCCACCTTCAAGTACCACTGAAATGCTTTCTTTTAATCTTTTATAACTCCAATTCCATATTGATAATAATAACCAACTTCACTTTGTCCACCAATATTTTCCCCTTCGGCTGATTTCAAGTACCACTGAAATGCTTTCTCTTCATCTTTTGTTGTTCCAATCCCATGTCGATAACAATAACCAAGATTATTCTGTCCATAACTATCTCCACCTTCAGCTGATTTCAAGTACCACTGAAATGCTTTCTCTTCATCTTTTGTTGTTCCAATCCCATGCTGATAACAATCGCCAAGATTATTTTGTCCATTACTATTTCCTCCTTCAGCTGGTTTCAAGTACCATTGAAATGTTTTTTCTTCATCTTTTGTTGTTCCAATCCCATGTTGATAACAATGACCTAGATTATATTGTCCATCACTATCTCCACCTTCAAATGCAACTGGAATAATTTTTCTTGTTCTATATCCTTAGAGGCTTTGTTTCCATCGTTTTGTTTATTTTCCATTCAGTATATTTTTCATTTTTATTAAATTTCTATTCGCAAAACAATCTAGAGCGTTGAAACTCAATTTAACACTAAGGTAGCATTTATAATTTATAAATTTATATAAACGTATAATATGAAATGGACAAATTAAATTAAAATTCGTTGATATTTTTTCACATTAGTCATGAATATTAATTTTTTCCATTGTACGCTACATTGTCAAACCATAAAGAATTTTTTGGTACATCATTTTGTTCCTATGACGATCACTAAAAAGAACGTTTATTTTCTTTTTTAATAATATTTACTTGTAATTGTATTCTTAAATCTGTGTAACTTTGAGATGAAAATAAAGTTAGAATTAAAACGTTCCATTACAATTTTTTGAAAGTACGCGAACTATATTTAATTGAATTTAAATGGAATAAGTATAAAGAATTGAATTACAAAGCCAAATTTTTTATCTACAAATTTAAAAAATTTAAATTCCGTATTAATCTTTTAGAAAAGTTAGCAAGGGCACTTTATGTAAATTAAAGATTTTTCAGCATTAAATGTAAAATATAAATCTATTCAATAAATATGTAAATCATAGTGATAAAATAGATATCAAAGAGAGATAAGTTATCATTACAAAACACACAAAAATTTAAATTTGTATGTAATACGTTCTATTTTTTTTTGATATATTAACAAACAATGGATAAAAAATACTGTACAAATTGTGAATGCGAAAAATTTTATAAATTTTATGATTCTATGGGATTACAGCAGAAAAATTTATCTAAAATAGGAAAATTTCTTGATTCGTTAGATGGAAATCTTATTAAAAGAAATTTAATTTAAAAAAAAGTATATAGTGCAACTATAATATTCCTACCTGCAAACAATGTTTTCCATTTCTATAAAGAATGAATAAAATGAATGGTGCAACAAGACATTCATCATATTACTATAAATAAATTCCGTTCTGTATACACGTACAACAATGAAACAATGTTATTTCGGGAATAGAATAGAATTAAGGATTTAGATCAAAATTTCACATTCTTGTGGTTGGTTATAATGGACTTGTTTTTAATTCTTGCACTTTTAGGAATGAAGTTTTAGTAGGTAATATCCGAGTAACACACACTTACAAGATACCGTCCTCAAAATTAATGTTTATTTTAATAAATGTATACACAAAATCAATTAACATCATAAAATAATCATGGTAATATTTAATACTAAATATTGAATTTTTACTCTTTAACAACTTCTTTCATTTGGAGGTCTAGAAAGAAATAAAATAATTAATTAATAAATCTTGGATAAATCATAAAATCATAGATAAGATTTTTGTTAACAAATCAACATTTTGATAATAATTACCTCCAAGGGACTCCTAATGCATCAAATATTTCTTGTTCGGTACGTTGAGCTATTAATTTACCTTCATTTAAACTAACTCCTCCACTACCCCGAGCAATATTTTTATATAGACCATGTTGATTAAGTTTCATTTTCTATTTTTATATTTAAAATTGATTAAATATATTTCTATAAAAAAAAAAAAAAAAAAAAATTCACATTGAAGAATCATTACTTTATAATAATTATTACCTTCTTTCTAGCTAGTAATCGTATACTTCGATTAAATATGTCATTTCCTGTAAAACTAAGTAATGCTGCACCCAATTCTCCGTAAGGCACAGTAAACAAATCTGTGAAATTATAATAAATTTATAGCATTAGAGATACGATAAATTAAATAATTAATAAAAGTTACTTAATAAATACCTAATCTACGATATTTTCCACCAGGAAGTCTACAAATTCCCATATATTTTCCAGAAACATCATCTTCTTGGGTGTGAGTTAGATCATGAGTAATAAAGCTTCTGTTATGTAAATTTTCTACAATCTTGGGTAAAACACCTAATCATATGTTACATATATATGAACATCATCATCTTTCTCTTATAAATTATAATTTTTTTTTTCATGACTTGTAAATATTCTTTTGAAAATTTTACCTGAATGTGATTTTCCATCCGAATCATTACGTGTAATTAGAATATCAATATCACCACAAGTAGGATTACCCCTTCTATAAGATCCGGTGGTAAATAATTGTAACTTTGAATCCGTACTATGAGCAGCATCTTCAACCACTTTTGAAATTTCTGTTACTTCATCACGTGGAATTCTTTCCTGAAGATCCTTTATTCACACATACAAGTTAGAATTTGCCATAAAAAATATAATATAATATATATACAATAAAAGTTCATATAAAAAAAGGATTCATTTAGAATATTTACATCAAAGCATTCAATTCCCACTTTCTGTGAATGTGTTAATTTGACATTTTTTAGTATATCATCAAATGTTCGATAACCAAGTGCATACCATTTTAATGCAGCTTTCGATCCAACACCTTGAAAATTTTGAAAAAATTGTTTATATAAGAAATTTATGAAAAAAAAAATCAAAAAAAAATATATTCACACGTATATTACCATGAATTGCACTAAACTTTTTAATAACTTCGTCAGATTTTGAAATGCTTTCTACACGTTTTAAATTTCCAGTATCTATTATTTCTTGTATCTGCTCAAACCAAAAGAAAATTTAACAAATAAAAATCAAACCATTGGAATGTAAAAAAAAAATTAATCAAACGAATTGAATTTACTTTTGTCGCAATACGGTTTCCGATTCCAGGAATCTCTATTGCTTCTTTGTATGAACCAACTGGTTTGTTATATTTTTTTAATGCTGAAACCGCCTTACGATAGCTTAGAGTTCGCCATTCATCTCTCATTCTTTGATAATGATCCAATAAAATTTGAAGCTATGAAGTAATTAAAAAAAAATAAATGAATCAATATTAACTTGATCCAAAGATAATAAATAGATAATTGAATAGAAGATGGATTAGATAATATAAAAATTTTTTCTATTAACTTTTTCAATTACTAATTTATTCGGATTAATTTCAACTTCTCCATAGGTATGTTTATGCATACAAGAAAATGAATCATATTTCTAAAATATATAATTATAATATAAATATTATATAATTAATTTTCAATCAAAAATTAAAAAAAAAAAAAAAAAATTTGTCAAGACATACCTGATTTTCTTGAGATTCTTTTGATAATGCAGTTTCATTTGAACCTTCATGAACTTTTTTCTCAACTTTATTTTCATCGTTTTCAAGTAAAGTGGAATAAACTTTTTTCATATCTTCCTCGGAATCAGAACTTTCTTCAGCAATCATTCCATCACTATATTCTCCTTCATCCGAATAAAAACCCTTTATAAAAAAAAAATTTCAGAATTATATATATTGTAAATAACCTAATTTCCGAAGTTAGCAAAAAAAAAAAAAAAGTTAGACGAAAAAAAAAATTTTTTTTTTTAATCATTACGGCTTCTGTAAGATTTCTAGCTTCCTGAATCATTTCCGATAATAGGTCTGTAGACTTTTCTTCATCTTTAAATAATTTTGTCAACGGATCTTTAAAATTCTTATCTTCTTGATCCATTTCTGATAATAGATAATTATTATTACTATTCGAAGATGAACTAAAATTTCTACTGGAGCTAAATTCTAAACTCGACTTAAAACTTGAAGAAGAAGATGGTGATTGTTCTCTTATTGGTGATAAAGAAACATCTTGCTTTTTCTTTTCAGGTTTAAAATGTTTTAAGGTGTGATATGATTTATAAGAACTAATTGTTAAAAATATAAAAGTGAATTTTAGTTACTAATATTTATCAATTTTTTTTTTTTACAACTTGAACAAAAGTTACCTTTCACTTTCACCGTTATTTATATTATCGTGAGTTTTTTCCGTAAGCGAAGTAGAGGATTGTGATTCAATTGATGTGGATTCATATAATGGTACTTCATATCGTTCGGTTTTCGCAAGTTTATCATACTATATTTTCAATTATTTACGAAAAAAAAAAAAAAAAAAAATAGACAAAAAAAAAGAAAAAGAATGAATTATCAAAATTTTTTAACGAAATTAAATTATATTATATTTACCATACCATTATGGAAGTGGATACCCAATTTGGTTCGAGTACATGAACTCCCTATGTTACATAAAATTTTTATTTTTTCAGATAATAATCTTCAACAAAATTTTTTTATTTTATTTTTTTTTTATTTTTTTTTCTTTTAAAATTTACCTTGAGACTTTTATTATCAGGCAAACCTAAAACTTTATGTACATTTTTTCCTGGTAATTCAGTAACCACATGAGTCACATTGGTATCGAAAGTATCAACTATCATCCCTCCTTTGGCTTTAACTTTTTCTTTCATCAAATTCAAGCGAACAGTACCAATATTATTCTGAATAAATAAAATCCTGAGATTAGAAAATATACCATTAGAATCTAGTGGAATCATTTCCTGGTCTTTGCCAGTGGTGTTCTTTTTTTTTCTCCCACGTTTCGATTTTAATTGTAAAGAATTTTCTTCATTTGAAATTTTTATCTCATTTTTCGATATCGCTAAGTTAGGTAATTGAACGTCTTGTAAATTTGAAGCTTGTCCTTTTTTTGATTTCGTTTGATGATGATGTTTGGAATTACCAGTAGTAGTAGTATTCGAATTTTTCTTTGGAACGACAATTTTGTAGATAGTCTTGGGCTTGCGTACATTCTTATTAATAATTTTTTGGGATGAAAAAGATGATAATTTTATTTCGGTTGGAAGTGTGATGGTGGTGGTGGTTTTTATAGATGAAGGTGGCTGTGTGGAAATTTTCTTTCTTGGTGGCTGCTGTCCAATGGTGTCATTATCATGTGACTCCGTTGGAACTTCTTCTTCAGTGATATCATTAACTTTTCTTTTAAGCAAACCCGTTTCAAAATAACCCGTTTCAAAATCATCCATCAATAAAATGTCACTATCCTGTGATGAAAATATTCCCATTTCGTCTAACCCTGCCGTTAAAGATGAACTACTTAATTGTGACGAAATGCGTGATTCAGACACATATTCATTCATTTCATTAGTAATGGTTGATGTTGATGATGGTTGCTTCTCAGTTTTAAGATTAAAACTTTCAACGTTCATATCGTTTATATGTAATAAAGACGATGACGGCTGATCATTTGTCGTAGATTTATTATTACTTGTATCTTCAGGATTCATTTTTTCTCCTAATTCACCTTTGTAAATTATTTGTATCTCTTTCTTATGAAATCTAAAAAGTAAAATAAAATAAAGAAAGTGATAAATGATCACAATTTATAATAATAATGCGTTACTTTTTAAAATAATAATCAGTTTATAATTATTCGTTATGCGTGTGTGTAAACGATAATCATCAAAAATATCGTTATTTGAAAAAAAAAAATAAATATTTTAAATTTCTTTCATCACTTCAGTAAGTACGTGTATAAAAATACGCAGAAAACGAAGAATTGATAGTAATAATACTAAAAAAACAAAACAAAAAAAGTATATATCTAAAAATATTAAAAAAGCAAATGAAAAAAAAATACAAAAAAATACAAAATACAAAAGAATACACGGTTGAATAAAAGTAAGTAAAAAAAGGGTGAATAAATATTTTGGTAACAAACTTTTTTTTTTCTCAATATAGATGCGAGAAGAAAATAATGATCAGAGTAACACTAGCTTTATTATGACTTGAATTGAATAACATTGAATAACATGTCTACAAACATGTGGTAAATATGCAATAAAAAAAAATGTCAACAATATGTAACTCCGCAGCCGTAAAGACCTGCGGATAGTAACATTACTGCGACGCGATTTCGCTGTGGGTCACGAGGAGTCCAAATCGTATGTATGTGGCTTGATATGGCTTGTTTATTGCATTAAAAAAAAATAATTGGTAATGATATCACCCGAACGAATTTGAAATTACGTATATAAGACAATTTCGATTTATTTTGACTTAGTATTCATTTCACGGGAATTTCTTCCTAAAATAAATTCGATTTACAATAAAAAAAAATTAAAGGATGATTTTACATTATAAGATTATTTATTAATACATAGATAATAAATACAATTATAATAAGAGAAAAATGCCAAAATTCGATAAAGGAAGGAATAGAATATCGCCTTATCAGGGCACTCCAACAAGGTATTTTTTTTTCTTTTAAATAAACTTGATTTTTTTTTCTCTAGACGAAGAAAAAAAATCTAAGACATCTAAAATGTATATCAATTTTTTTTTTTTTTTTTTAGGCAAATTTCTCAATTTTCTTCTTCACATTCAACGATAGAAAATATTTCATCAGAAAGTTCACATCGATTTGCGATGAAAAATCCTTTTGCAGAATTTATCAAACCCGAGCAAATTAACAAACAAGAATGTACTGTAACAAATTCATTAAAATTTAAACAATCCAAATCTTCTGATCATAGGTCTTCTTCTTCTTCTTCTTCTTCTTCTAATCAAGATCAAAAAGGTTCATTATCAATGTCAGGTGTGGTAAAAGATATAAAACAAAAAAAGCAAGAGGAACAAAAACATATAGAATTACCTTTCTTCAGTAAAATTGAAACACCCGATCTTAAATTCTCATCACATGTATCAGAGAAAGTTACAAACCTTAATCCTTCACCTGATTATATTCCATTTATGTGGCAAATAGAGTATTACCTTGAATTATCTAAATCCATAAATCAATCCTCTTTTAAAATGGAAAAATTTCCCTCAGGAAATATTTCTTCTCACCGGAATGGGATGACGAATCATTCTTCACCTAGAGTACAAAGATCACATAATTTTCGTGGTGGAAATAATGGGGTTCGTAATCGAGCAAATTATGGCAATGGACATAATTTGCGTGGAATGTATAAAAGGTCAAATTTAAGACCTCCAGGTGGTATGCCAACTGGCTGAAAGTATGTCAAAAGAAATATTTCGTGGACATTATGGACATTTACATTTACTACTTTAATTTTTCATATTGCAATTTTTTTTTTTTATGTTTTGTAGAAACATAAATTGGATGGGAATTTTCTTGTTAATTGATTGATTTTTTTTTTTTGTTCATTTATATCAGAAAAACAAAAATACTTGAGTTATTTCAAATTTTTTACACACATATATATATTTGATTTCAGTTATTTTATAATTACCCGGATTAATACTCGAGGAATTTTTTTTAAAGATTCCTTTTAATTGTGTAAAATTTTTTTAACAAATATATAAATTTAAAATATGTGATCAATAAAAATACGGAACATTTTCGATTTCGTCTCGGTGAAGAAATTTTTCTAAAATATCCCATATTTTATATATTGCTATAACAACACCAATTCTTTTTTTTTATATTTGTACCTTTTTATACTGGTGGTTTTGTTCCAGTTGAAAATAGTCTAATATTCACACCTCGAAAAAATTTGCCATAATTTTTAAATTTGTGTAATAAAAGAATCGTCAAAACTATTGTAAAAAAAAAATAAGAAAAATAAATGAATATAATATCTATTTTTTTTTCAACCATAAAAATCTCCGCAAAATCCTGCAATTAGAACGATGAAACTGGTCAAAGTAGCTTCCTCTAAAAACCTAAATCTTATTGAAAAACATATCAAATAAATAAAAACATAGATATATCAAATAAAAATTACATTTTTTAAATTACAGTAATACTTTTTTTTTTTTTATGAATACAAAGAAAAATTGTAATGTGACGTGTTGGCTCATTATTTTAAATCGAATTATCGAATTAAAAAAAATTTTTTTTTACCCATTTGTCTATATACATCCGATCTGATCCAATATAAATATAATATTACTATCTGTTGTCATAATCTCTAATAAAATTTTCATTCATTCATTCAACATCATAATCCCCTGGAATACCTTTCCAATCTTGATAAATTGAACTAATGTAAGATCTAGATGTTTTTAGTCGAAAAGGATCAAATGGAAAATATTCATTCATATCCAAAAATTCTTTTTTGGAGTCCCTGTAAATTCTATCGCCGAGTACTTCCTTACAATTCATGAATTGCAAAGCTTCGGTTATCCTAATAAACATTTTTACAATTTCCCCGGTGCATACCTGTATAAAGATAATTTTATTTTTTCCCAAAAATGAGTAAATAAATAAATAAATAAATAATAAATAAATAAATAAATAATAAATAAATAAATAAATAAATAATAAATAAATATATAAATATATAAATATTGATAATTTTATGTTATACAAACCTGGAGAGGCGCAAATTTAGATTTAATAACTCTTTGGAGTCTCATGATATCGGGCCACCAATGAGGTATACCATCGGTTACATCACGAAAATCTTTCCACCGAAAACAGAAAATATACATTAAACATTGAACAATTGTGTAGAAAATTTTGTGTTGTTTCGGTTTCGGGAGTAAGACGAGACTTTCGTAACAATCCAAATATTTTTCAGCCCATTTAAGTAGAGCTCGAACACATAAACGAACATCGTCAGTACTTAAATAAGCGGCTCTTCCAATATAAGAAGCGACATATTGTGAAGCGACTTCCCGTATTATTGGTGGTTCTTTATCAGCCAACAATTTATGAAGCAGTTGTGCAAGAAATGGTTGAACATATGATTTTTTCAATGAAACATACCAAAATATCAAAAATTGGGTATATCGTGATTTGAAAGTTAATAAGACGATCTTCTCAAAGATTGTCATTAATGTATCAAATAATTCCTCTTGTTGTTCATTTGTTGAATTATCAAAAAACCATTTCAGATAATCCAATAAAAGTTTTAACATGCAATCTAATTTTTCGATAAGTTGCCTAACATCAAGAACAACGATGCAAGGTGAAGAAGAACTGCTGATATCATCATCACTATGATCCTCAGTAATTGAACTATGAGACGAAATGCTCACGTATGATCTCCCTTTAGACCTTAGGCTGCTCACCGTACTGCTGGTCTCGGAATGAAAGCTGATATCATATTGGGAAGAGGATTCTTCGAAACTCTCAATTTCTTCCATTTTCCCCTGCACTTCAGTCTAATGTACGATTTAAAATGAAAAATGTACAAAATGTGAATGAAATGTAAGATATAATAATATTAAAAAATTTCGACAATAATTTTTTTTTGATTAATTTACATCGAGATCGGTTAAACGTTCAAATAATAATTCCAAAACTTGAGTTTGCAAGGTTGGTAAATATTCCAACATTTGTAAAACGTTTTTAAGATAAGTTACATGCACAACTAAGGAATCCTTTTTATATGGAAAATTTTGGAAAATGATTTTAATTAATTCTTCTTCCCCACTCGGTACAACCGGCAAGACATTCTTAAGAGCGTAATGTACACGACCATGTATAAATTCAAGATTGTCTGGTATTGTTCCATCCTTATCTAATCCTTAATTTAGAAAATTTTAAAATTAATGAAAGAGAAAAATGTGATGTGATAAAGATAATAATAATAATAATAAAATAAGAGATATTTAACTCACTTAATACAAAATGTTTTACCAACATATTTAATATAGAATCAATATAATCTGAATGTGATGTAATAAGATTCGCCAGAAACATCACATATATTACGACTAAATTGTTGTCGTAACATACCCAGTTTATTTTTAATAAAATGTTAACTAAAGCCCTACATGAACAATCTAGCATTTGTGTGGCGCGAGAAAAGGCCAATACCCAAAGATGAGTTTTCTTTAAACCGAAGGTGTTTTTACACACACCATCTCCGATTAATCGGAAAAGTTCATTATATTTTGTCATATTGCCCTTTAATAACGAAAGAATAAAGGTGACAAAAGATAATCATAGATATAATTGATTAAGTTTCTTTTTTATTATTATTATTATTATTTCTCTTATAGTGATTCATATTTCAAATCATAATTTATATATATATAACAGACTATAACAGGTATAATTAAATTACTATATATTATATAACATTTTTAAAATTGCACACAACTATACAAACTATATATATATACAACTTTTTTCATAACCTTTTTCTCGCAAACACCTGATCAATTAAATAAAGATAGAAAATTTATACCTCGTTTTTAAGAGTGATGGCGTTAAAAATAAAGCTGGTCATTGTTGAAAACTCTTGTTTTGACATTTCTACGTCGTTTTTATCTACGTTCTCATCCATTTCTACTTTTCTTTTCTTTGAATTTCGTTCGGATATCGATGACCTTTTCTTAGGAGGAATACTTGAGAGTTCACACGATTTGGACGTAGGCATAATTCGTTAAATGAAATAAAAATTTTCGGATCTTAAGAAATCCGAATGCAATTTTTTTTTTTTTTTTGGCAAAAAAATTTTTTGATCTGTTTCTCGTCGCACAGATGCAAGTGTTGTTGTTTGTGTTATCCCGTTGTGTCACATGGGATCACACCATCTACAAAGAAGGTTTAACGGTTTAGCATGAAAAATATTTTAGTTGGCTAAAATAAAAAGAATAATTTAATCTAGTCGAATTAAAGATCTTTACCAATTTTAGTATCTTATCCATATTTGGGTTTTTTTCCGATTTCATCTAAATCTAAATTATTGGTGGGAAGATCTAGAAGAAATTGGATAATCAATATTATAATGCAAAAATTTTTTTTCAAAAAAAATAATAATAGAATTATTTACCTTTTTCGTTTATTTGATTAATAATAATCATTACTTAACTTATATTTCTTGCGTTTTGCATTATTTAACCGTAAAAAAATTTTGGGTTTGATTTTATGTAAAAATCATTTTTTCAAGAGAACATTTTTTTTAATGAATAATGGGAAAACGGAAAATAAAAACTCCAAATAAAAGACGTATCCTGTTGTAATAATATATGTTATTCAATCATGATGTAATTCTTAAATTTACGTCAAAAATCATCATGATGATGTAAAATAGTATAGATATAATTTTTATAAAAAAAAAGAATTCATGAAAAGAATTTCTAATTTAATTAAAAAAAAAAGAATTCCCTGAATTTTTTTTTTAAAAAAAAAAGAGAATTGAAAATTATGTTTCCACCTATTACTGTCCCACCTCCGCTACAACCAATTATTCAAGCATGGACAGTTTGGTTTACTACAACTTTTTTTACAATTCCTATGGCTACCGCTTTAGCAATTTGGGATTTACCATCCGCACTTTATAATCTTTTTTTTGGTGAAAGGCCAAAAGTGATTCTTATTACTGGAGCAAAGTGAGTAATTTTTAAATATAAGTATTATTTATGTTATTGTTGTTCGTTATTGACAATACTATATAAATAATGTAATTATATATGTTAGCTCGGGTATTGGCGAAAAATTAGCAGAAGAATATTCAAAACTTCCTGGCGTAACCTTGGGACTTTTAGCAAGAAACAAAGGTAAAAATTTAAAGTGTCATCTATTATATCTATTATCGAATTATTTATAATATTCTACAAAAATATTTGGAAATGCATCATGATTTGGTTCTAACTTATTTGTTTTTTAGAACATTTAAATAGAGTGGCGAATAATTGTCGTAAGAGAGGTGCCAATGTTGACATTCTGGTTTGCGATATAACAGATAAAGAAGTTTTGAATGAAACCATAAATGATTTTTATGATCGTTATCCAATTGATTTATTGATTGCTAACGCTGGTAAGTAAATAAAATTTGTTTGAAGAATTAATTAATTTTACCCTTCATTGTCATATAATTAACGTGTGATATGTATAATAGCACAAGCTGGTGTGAAATATGACGGCGATGAGGAACGCTGGGAAGATAGAGGGGAAAGATATATCGACGTTAATCTCATAGGAACTGTCAATACTGTTATGGCTGGATTCAAAAGAATGAGAGAAAAAAAAGGAGGACAAATTGCAAGTACGTTCTTCCTTATAATAAAATCAATAAAAAAGAAAAAAAAAAAGAATTAAATATTTTTTAAATGTGATTCTAATTAATATTCATCGATTTACATAATGTTCGAAAAGTCACATCTTCAATCCTCGGTCATTACAGTGCACCACAAATGATTTATTATAACGCAACCAAATATGCTTTAGTTTCATTCGCCCGTGATCTTCGTTACTTGGGTGCACCTCATGATATCAAAGTCTCAGTAATTGCTCCTGGAATAATTGATACTCCAATGACGAGTGATCCAAAACAACCTTTGAAATTTTACAGTTGGATATTTGCCTCCCCTAGAAATCTTGCCATAGTGACTAAATTACAACTTTACGCGAATCGTTTTGAAATTACTTGGCCATTCGTTGAAATGTTACCTGCTTTTGCTGCCCAATCATTACCACCAAGAGTAACGGAATTGGTTACCCATATCATTGGACGTGTTAATGGATTCATAACTGGTGTTGGTGATGAAGCATTCACTTAATTTTTTGTAAAAGTAATTCATGATGATGATGATGATGATGATAACTATTCTTTAAATGATTTTAATGATTTAAATGATTTAAATGATTTAATTGCAATATTTTTTTTTTTTGAAATTTTTTGTATTTATTCATAATATTTTTAATATTACATTTATTTTAATTCCGCTGATTTTGCATAAAATGTAATAAAGCTTATTGATGTATTAAAATTTTAATAAAATTTAGTTGCGATTTTATATTAAAGTAGTTATTATAATTGTATAATAAGCATATAGTTGCACATTTTTGTACAGCAAGTGCAACCAATTATTTGATAATTAAACCAAGATTCAAATGCAAAAATCAAGTTTTCTTTAAAGTTAACTTCAAATTTTTTTATAGGGCCCATTCTTGCATTATGTTCATAATTAAAAATGTGTACTTGGAATTATTAAAATATTTTTCGATTCGATTAACCATCTTTAATAATGTCAGTTATTTCATATGACAAAATTTTCGCATTTTTAGATGCATTATGTCATGTTTTATCGTTCTAGGTGAAACCCCTGATAAATGTAAAGTTACTCTTCTTAACATTACCAAGTTTACGTTGGAGAAATCAATAAGGTCATCTAAGAAAATATACCTTTTTAGTATAAATGAACATGATAAATATTCCCAACCAACAACGATTGAGAATAAGCTGAAAATACTTGACATCTCGAGGCAAATGAAATTCCAATAGGCTTTTATGAAAATCACATGGTGCAAAATTATCGTACACCCACCGTTGGTAATTGTTACCGGAAATTTGATAATAATAATAATAATACATCGAGCCTAGCCTATTCTTTTCTCATTAAGGTACAATAAGTGACTTTAGTATCATCCATAGTTCTATATTAATATTGTAATTCGTAACTAACCACCATTGATACACATATTGATTTATGTTGATTTATTACTGGATAAAAACTTTGAAGCATTCTAATGAAATAATGTAATGAAACCAAGGTATGTTCTGTTTTCATACTTGCCATCTTTAGTGCATGCTAGTTTATATACTTTATCAGTTGGTGTCAATTTTCCGTTGCAGGGTCAAAATAAAACATTATTGACATGAAATGAAGGGCAGAATAAAGACAAAAGAGTTATCTTAGTTAATGGACCAGACACTGATTCCTTCAAGAATTGCCAACTAATTCACAAGCTCAACAATATATAGATAAAAATGGACTTCTGGATTTAATTAAAGATCAGATGTTTGCAAATACTATTAATGTCACCGTTTCTCCACCGGATATGAAGTGTCTATTCAAATAACGTAACAGAAATGTTATTTCCTTTTATAATAGATAATTAATTCAAGAAAGGTGATGCAAAATATGTACTGTATGTCCATTACAGTATATAAAAAAGGTTCTATTGAAAATTAAGAATTCTTTTAAGAATGGTAATTACATTCATTAATGCATTACAATTGCCTTATTTCTTTTTTATTTTTTTAATGACTAACAAGCCTCTTTATTCATAAATGATAAAATTGAAATCTACCACCCGACTCGCCGTCCCTGAAAGGAAATTTCATTCAAGGTGTATTTTTTGAAAAATAATTGTCCTAGTTTCTAATTTTTTATTTAGGTACTTTTTTTTTTATTATTTATAATATTAAAAAAATGTTCGGAAATTTCCACATACTTTTTTGACAATAGAAATATCATCTATTCATTACAGTTGTTTTATAAGATTAGAAAATTATACTTAAAATTTATTTCATTGATGTCATTTCTATGCAATTGTAACAATTATTAAATTTCGAGAGGCGAAAATTTGCAGTTATTATAATGCTAATAATAGCTGAATAAATAATTAGAATATAATAAACAAATATTCTTAGTATCATGAAACGATAATACAGTCGGGTCTCTCTATAATCACACTTTTTATAATCACAATCTGTATATAATCACTTTTTGTGAGAACCAATTCGTAGTAAAGCTATGTAAAAAAAATCTCTATATAATCACAATCTTTCAATAATCACCAAATTTACTGGTCCCGAATGTGTGGTTATAGACCCGACTGCATAAATTATACTGTTAAATAAAAATATATATTTATTATAAAAAGTTAATAATAAAAATCTTATAACAATCATATAAAGTTTTCGTTATATTTTCTTGCTTTTACCAATAATTTCGCCTATCAAAAACGTATTGATTATTTCTATCTCAATTTCGTGAATAAACAATTTGAACCAATTTTAATAAAATTGACAAAGATTTTTTACAATGCAATGCAGACCTGTTTAACAGAAGTCTAACGTGGAATGGCGAATTAGAAATTTCGAAATTCGGGATAAATATTTACAAAATAAAATGAATAGAAGGTTCTGAAAGAAAACGTAATGAAAAAAATTAATATTTATTCAAGGCAAGCAAACCAAAGCTTAAATTTAATCACTTATTATGCACTAAAAAACATATTTAGATCTATTTATTTTATTACTTATTTATAGTATAAGCTTATGATTATATTATTAATTTTAAATCTTATTTGAATTTATATTCCATTCGACGTTCGGTTTTTATTTTTTTTATAAAAATTTATTCCATAAAACATAACCCCAACTGAAATGAGAAATAAACAAACCGATAGTATCAAGTCTTCTAAAGATAAAAAGCAATTATTTCAGTTTCGTTTGAAATTGGCAGAAGAGGGAAATCGTGGTGCACAGAAATATCTTGGAAATTACTATAGATATGGAATTGAAACAACTAAAAATGTATGGAAGGCATTTACATGGTATTTGAAATCAGCTGAAGGAGGGGATAGTGATGGACAGTATAATCTTGGATATTGTTATGAAAATGGAATTGGAACAACAGAAGATCAAGGAAAGGCATTTCAGTGGTACTTGAAATCAGCTGAAGAGGGAAATACGACTGGGCAATATTCGCTTGGTTATTGTTATAGAAATGGGATTGGAACAACAAAAGATGAAGAGAAAGCATTTCAGTGGTACATGAAATCAGCTGAAGGAGGAAATAACGCTGGACAGATAAGTCTTGGATATTGTTATAGAAATGGGATTGGAACAACAAAAGATTACGAGAAAGCATTTCAGTGGTACATGAAATCAGCTGAAGGAGGAAATAACGATGGACAGATAAGTCTTGGATATTGTTATAGAAATGGGATTGGAACAACAAAAGATGACGAGAAAGCATTTCGGTGTTACTTAAAATCGGCTAAAGGTGGAGATAGTGATGGACAGAATAGTCTTGGATGTTGTTATCAATATGGGATCGGAACAATAAAAGATGAACAGAAAGCATTTCAGTGGTACATGAAATCAGCTAAAGGTGGAAATATTACTGGACAATATAGTCTTGCGCAATGTTATCAACAAGGGATTGGAACAACGAAAGATGAAGAGAAAGCATTTCAGTGGTTTACAAAATCAGCTGAAGGTGGAAATAGTGCTGGACAGAATAATCTTGGTGAATGTTATGAAAATGGTATCGGAACAATAAAAGATGAAAAGAAATCATTTCAGTGGTTTACAAAATCAGCTGAAGGTGGAAATAGTGCTGGACAGAATAATCTTGGTGAATGTTATGGAAATGGTATCGGAACAATAAAAGATGAAGAGAAAGCATTTCAGTGGTTTACAAAATCAGCTGAAGGTGGAAATAGTACCGGACAGAATAATCTTGGTGTATGTTATGGATATGGGATTGGAACAACAAAAGATGACGAGAAAGCATTTCAGTGGTACTTGAAATCAGCTGAAGGTGGAAATAGTGCTGGACAGAATAATCTTGGTGAATGTTATGAATATGGGAATTGGAACAACAAAAGATGACGAAAAAGCACTTCAGTGGTACTTGAAATCAGCTGAAAGTGAAGATAGTAATGGACAGAATAGTCTTGGTTATTGTTATAAACATGGGATCGGAACAACAAAAAATGACAAGAAAGCATTTCATTGGTACTTGCAATCAGCTAAAGGAGGAAATAGTGCTGGACAGAATAATCTTGGATATTGTTATCAATTTGGGATTGGAACATTAAAAGATGAATATCAAGCATTTCAGTGGTACATGATATCAGCTGAAGATGGAAATAGTGATGGACAAAATAGTTTTGGTCATTGTTATCAACATGGGATTGGAACAACAATAGATGTAGCGGAAGCATTCTATTGGTACATGAAATCAGCTGATGGTAGAAATATCATTGCACAATATAATCTTGGATGTTGTTACCAACAAGGGATTGGAATATTAAAAGATGAAGAGAAAGCATTTCAGTGGTACTTTAAATCAGCTGAAGGTGGAAATAGTTATGAACAGAATAATTTCGGTTATCGTTATCAACATGGGATTGGAACAACAAAAAATGACGAGAAAGCATTTAATTGGTACTTGAAATCAGCTAATGGTGGAAATAGTGTTGGACAGAATAATCTTGGTGAATGTTATAAATATGGAATTGGAACAACAAAAGATGAAGAGAAAGCATTTCAGTGGTTTACGAAATCAGCTGAAGGTGAAAGTAGTACTGGACAATATAATCTTGGATGTTGTTATCAATATGGAATTGGAACTGCAAGAGATGAAGAGAAAGCATTTCGATGTTACATGAAATCAGCTGAAGGTGGAAATATTACTGTAACATATAACCTTGGGCGTTGTTATCAATATGGGATTGGAACAACAAGAGATGAAAAGGAAGCATTTCAGTGGTACATGAAATCAGTTGAAGTTGGAAATAGTGATGGACAATATAATCTTGGCTATTGTTATCAACATGGGATTGGAACAACAAAAGATGAAGAGAAAGCATTCCAATGGTACATGAAATCATCTGAAGAGGGAAATATTATTGCACAATATAATCTTGGATGTTGTTACCAACAAGGGATTGGAATATTAAAAGATGAAGAGAAAGCATTTCATTGGTTTACAAAATCAGCTGAAGGTGGAAATAGTGCCGGACAGAATAATCTTGGTGAATGTTATGGATATGGGATTGGAACAACAAAAGATGAAGAGAAAGCATTTCAGTGGTACTTGAAATCAGCTGAAAGTAAAGATAGTGACGGACAGAATAATCTTGGTAGTTGTTATCAAAATGGGATTGGAACAACAAAAGATGAAAAGAAGGCATTTCAGTGGTACATGAAATCATCTGAAGGTGGAAATTGTTATGGACAAAATAATCTCGGAGTTTGTTATGAACATGGTATTGGAACAATAAAAGATGAAGAGAAAGCATTTCAGTGGTACATGAAATCAGCTGAAGGTAGAAATATCACTGGGCAATATAATATTGGATATTGTTATCAACATGGGGTTGGAACAACAAAAGATGAAGAGAAAGCATTTCAATGGTACTTGAAATCAGCTGAAGGTGGAGATAGTTATGGACAGAATAGTCTTGGATATTATTATCAACATGGGATTGGAACAACAAAAGATAAAGAGAAAGCATTTCAGTGGTACTTGAAATCAGCTGAAGGTGGAGATATTACAGGACAATATAATCTTGGATGTTGTTATCAATATGGAATTGGAACTTCAAAGGATGAAGAGAAAGCATTTCAGTGGTACTTTGAATCAGCTAAAGGTGCAAATAGTGATGGACAGAATAATCTTGGATGTTGTTATCAATATGGGATTGGAACAACAAAAGATGAAGAGAAAGCATTTGATTGGTACGCGAAATCAGCTGAAGGTGGAAATAGTATTGGACAGAATAACCTGGGACTGTGTTATAAAAATGGGATTGGAACCACTAAGGATGAAAAGAAAGCATTACAGTGGATTTTGAAATCAGCTGAAGGGGGTAATAAATTTGTTCAGGGTTCAGTTGAATATTTTTATCGAAATGAAATTGGAATCTCAAAAAATAAGAAAAATGAAAATATACTTAAGAAAGACATTAAAAAAAATGATAATATTTGCTGCATCTGTTGGAAAGAAAATGGTTGCAGTGAAATCTGTGTTAAGTATTGTCAAAATTTTGGTGGATGTTATAATTGCGGAAATTTAAATATTCAAAAAAATGTATGTCCAAATTGTAAACTTATTGAAGTAAACTATTTGTCAAAATGGACCAGTGGTAATTATGAAATTGACAAGATTATTCACATGTCACAATTAGACGAAAATGCAAAGGAATGGGAAGTTTGGAGATGGATAGATTTTAGTAAATTTAAAGATATAGATTTTTTAGCTAAAGGTGGTTTTGGTAGTGTTTGGAAAGCAGTATGGACAGATATGCCTGAAGAATTGTTTGGATTCTATAATTCAAATCAAGTTGCTTTGAAAAAACTTAAGAATTCACAACAAATTAGTTCTGAATTTTTAAAAGAGGTAAATATACAAATATATATTAATTTTTTTTAATGTGTGAAATATGTAATTTAGCTTTATAACTTCTCAATATAGTTAATAGTAAATTTCCATTGTCGAGATAAGTATGTTTTACCGATTTTGGGTATAACACAAGATCCAAAGACAAAAGAATATGCAATAGTTTTACGATATATGAAAGACGGAAATTTGATGAACTTTCTTAAACAAAATAAGAAACTGCCCTGGAAAGAACGGTTATGGTTATTGAATTCTTTTGTCAGAGGATTAAATACCATTCACAGTAAAGGATTTATTCATCGTGATCTTCACCCTGGCAATCTTATGATCACTGAAGCACATCGTAATTTTAAATTTATAAGACTGGGAGATTTAGGATTATGTAGACCAGTAAATGAAAACTTATCATCTGGAACATATGGTGTATTACCATATATTGCACCAGAAGTCATGAATAAGAATCAATATACACAAGAATCGGATATTTATAGTGTTGGAATTATTATGTGGGTAATCTCAACAGGAAAAATACCATTTGAAGGAGAATTATATAATCCAGAACTAGCAATATCTATTTTCAGTGGATATCGTCCAATAATTCATAAAGGAACACCTCAATGTTATGTTGAATTGATGGAAAAATGTTGGCACAATAATCCATCTGAACGTCCAAAAGTTAAAACTATTTATTATATATTAGAGGAATGGCTTGAAAATTTAATTTATTCTAGAGAAACAGAAATTGTACTTATGTTTTTAAATGCAGATCAAGAAATGCAAAACATCGATTCTAATTCATTATATAATGAAACTACTACTTTGCCTGAAACACATCTTACGATAAGTCAACCTTTAATACAACATAGTTCAGCAATTCATAAATCAAAATTTAATTTAGATAAATATGAAGGTGTCAATTTTGCCATAGAAATTGATTAATATGTTCATCGAATTTAAACTGTGAATATATACGTATGACTGCATTTTTTAAATAGTTTAAAATTTATTTATTGGTCATTATTTTTTATTAATGCAATAAATTTTTAATTTACTTTTAACTTCAATTTAAATCTAATGAAAGAATTAATGTTTGTCTTCTACAGTCACACAATCCAATTTTACAATAAATACAGGAATTATAATTATAATTTGTCAACCATTTATTATTTATTAAAATGCAATTTAAAAAATGATACATATTTAAATTATTAGATCAAACAAACTAATATCAAGGATGACCAACAAATTCTTTATGAATTATACCTTTTATTTTTCCTCTGTTAGCAAATCTATGTTCTATGTTCTTAGAATTCCATATAGAAGTTTTGAATTTATGAGAGATCCTGCTAAGATATGCTATACATGTTTTCTTGTTTCTGTATCATCGTAGTTTAACTATGGATTAAATCAAATTGAACAGATAAATGATGAATGAGAAAAAAAAAATAATAGAAATAGAAATATATTTAACAAACTAATAATACAAATCATTGGTCGAAATGAGGCCTTTCGGTAATCAAAAAATTTGGCTTAAATTCGGCTATCAATAAAATTCAACCAAAATTCGGAAATTCTGAATTTTGGTCGAAACTTAAAAAGCATCTTAAATTCAACTTTTAAGTTAATTTTTAGCAAAATTCGGATTTCCTGAATTCGTGCTGAATTTTTATACAATATTTGGATATGTTGAATTGCTGCTGCCAAAATGCCCATTTCAGAAATATACTATTTCGGCAACAATTTAGCTGTTATAAATTCAGCCAAAATTCGGAAATTCTGAATCTTGGTCGAAAGCTTCCAAATTTTGGCTGAATATTAATACAATATCTTGAAAGGCTGAATTGTTGCCGAAATATTACATTTCTGAAATATAGTATTTGGCCTCTTGATAAATTCAGCTGAAATTCAGAATAATTGAATTTTGGTCAACTTAAAAATCGCTTAAATTTTTGACCAAAAATTCAGTTATTCTGAATTGTGCCGAAATTTATTAACTTAAATATGAAATTTTTCAAATTTCAGCTTAATGAAATTCAGCCAAATTTTGATTATTGATAAATTTCAGCTAAAATTTAGAAATACTGAATGCTTTCTGAAAGTCAAAAATCAGCTATATATTTCTTAAATTCAAACTTTTTCTGCTAATTTGTGTTGAAATTTATCATAAAAAAATTTCATCCTAAATTCAGAATACTGAATTTTTTTTGTGTTGTCAAAAATTAGTCATTAAAAAATTCAGAATCTCAACCAAAATATGAAGAACTTTAATAGTTTTAAATGACATTTCGCATATGTAGCATTTTGGCCATTTTTATCTGATTTATTATATTCCATTTTATTATAAAATTCAGTAATAGAAATCGAAATTACCTTTTTATACTTTTATTTATTTTTCGCATTTTCAAAAATACTTTTTAGTTCTTGTTTTCTTTTATTTCTAAATTTACTTTTTCTTTCGTTTTTCTTCTTTCTTTATATTTTTTTTTACATTTTTTTTTCTTTTTTTCTTTCTATATCTCTTATTATTATATTTTAAGAAAGAAAATCTGTTAAAATATATAAAATATATCTTCTTCCGTCTATTTCTACATACATTAAACCAAGATCAACTAAAACTTCAATAAAGGTGCCAATGTTACTATTGCTCTCCAATCTAAATGATTTTTGGAAGAAATTAGCAATATTATATTGATGTTCTGAGCATTTTTTATTTCAACAATATTTCAGCAAGTATATTTGTGAATATATTTATATATTCGAATATCTTGTATATATAAATATATTAATGTTTGATGGTGAATATGATTCAATTAAGCAATATTTTGGCAAGTATTTATGGATATTCTGAAGTTTTGAATTGCCGCAAATGGCAGCAATAAAAATTGTAAAACAATCAGCTGGATTTCAACCTGAAAACCAGCCATTCGAAACCTAGCCGAAAAGGATTATTTTGACTAGTGTAGTGAAAAGTAAGAAAAATAAAAAAAGTTACAAAATAAAAAGCAAGAAATACAAGATGAGAAATTAAAATAACGATATTTATAATTAGATTGTTGAAGATAAAATTATTGAACGGAATTTTTTTACCATTTGTAATTAAGTTATTATCGAATATTCGAATGTATTTCGAAATCATAACCTTTTTATCATTCAAACCAATTTCCGTACAAGTTTGTTTTCAAGGCAAATTATCTCATTGAAAACAATTAATAAAAGTTTACAAAAGCAAATCCATCCAAAATAAAATTACTTCCACGATTCATTTTCTAATCTGATTCTCTTGCATAAATGTATCAAGTTAATGTCTCGGAAAATAAACCTTTTATGGTTCTTCCAAGTCGATATTTCCCTTTTTGTACTATGCTTTGCAAAAGATTATTAATGAATTTTCCGAAGTCGGAGTTGAAATTATTCGTGATACTAGAAGCAGGGATGGGGGATGGAGTTGTCTAAAACAGAGCCCATCACAAAATTACATGAAATTAATTAATTTTATAATGAGGGCTGGGTTAGGGGTAGGGTTTAAGTAGTTATTATATGTAAAAATGCCTCCCCGACATTTTTTATTAATGCACAAAATATGTTTAGACATCTGTTTCTCGTTTTTCACTTTTTTCTTCGTCAGCTGATCCATATAAACAAAAATTCACGATTTTGATTGGCCATAGTCACTGGAATATCTCGTGATAGGCACGACCCAAAAAGGAAATATTAACAATAATTACTAATAGTAATCATATCTGCTGATTGCGAAAGTTTGACCTTATCTTGTATCCCTCATGTACCAACTTGTATCCCATTTTTTTGTTATGTGAAACGTGATTCATAATTTTAGTAGCTCAGCAAATTTGTTGTTGATCCTCAAAACTTTTTGAATTCCCGAATAATAACAAAAACAACAATGTCACTTATAAAATCCATCAACCTCACAGAAAACCTATCAAAGTTGATTGAATGAGTAATTGAAACTTATTTTATTACAAGTACATTTTACTCTCTTTTTTTTTATATAAAAAAATATATATACATATATATGCATAGTATACTTAATAATATATTTTAAATCAATTTTTTTTTATAAGAAGGAATATTTTGTAATGACTGATTCCATTCCTCTGATTTTGCTTCATAGCAATTAATTATAATGTAAAATGTGTGGAAAAATCTATAAAAGGTCTTCAGAATTAATTAAACACAAAAAAACAATTTAGGAAATTAATACAATTAAACCAATAATGTATATTTTACTTGAAAGAGCTATAGAAGAAACACATCAAGCCTTAGTTTATCATATTAAAGTAAAACTAAAACAAAATTCAAGACATGTAAGAAATGTTAATATTACATTTAGTTGCACTGAAAGTCAATTTTTTGGTGTTTTTAAGGGATTTATACATAATTATTATCCTAAAACTGGAACTTACAAATGTATATTTAGAGGTGCTGATGTATATTCTACTTTGGCATATATATTAAAAGACAAAAATTGGGGAATAAAATATTTTCCACAATATCAATAAACATTGGTTTTATTTCATATCCTTTTCAACATTATTAACTTTCTTCTTAACTATATCTGCATAAGTATTTTGGTTTGAATAGTTTTTATTAGATTGGAATAATAATTTAGTTTATATTTTTTATACAAATTAACAAATTGTTTGATTTTTTCTTTCTTATTAAAAACTAACTGTTTATAATATTTATTTACATTACATCCTTTTGCTTTATGTAAATCTGAACTACAAATGAAACAAAGAGGTGTTATCATAGGAACCATCCTAATTGTGATTTCC